TCATTTGGGCACTTGTGGTATCTGCCTCAACACTGGCAGCTCCATCCAAAGACCAACAATTCTCTGAAGAACTTGACCAGGTGCTGCCATCTTTGCTCAGTGGAGTTATCCTTTGCTCCTGTAATCACTTAGTCCCAGTCCCAGCTCTTTCATTTGAAAACACCATTTGTGCCTCCCTTTGCTGATCTGCATGCATGTGAACCCCCTTGTCTGCAGCATTGTTATTTGTATTGCTCTGTGTTCCCTGCACATGGGATTAAATCTGTCACTGCTTCCAGCTGCACAGTTTTTCATTCAAGCTACAAAGTATTGCTTTTAACACTAATGGTCCCAAACTTAACCCCTGTTCTTGGTCACAGTGGTAACCATCACACATACAATTTAGGAAGTCATCATTGAAATGATGGTATGAATACTAGTGTACCATGACTCATTTTGACTACTGATCATACAACATAATAATTATTGTTTTCAAAAAGGGATGATTGAACCTGTGTAAACAGTTCTGCTTCCCTGGAAACCCATAATTTTGAAAAATAAGCAAATCTTGTTTGGTTATTAAAAACCATATTTTAAAATGAAGTTATTTTTTTTCAACTGATCCGGCACCATGAAAATTTAGATTTGAATATAATGAAACTGCACTACATTCTCAGTATCATTAGACTCATGGCTTCTGCAGCCTGTGCTCTCTCTATGTGTCATGATATAAAAGAAATAGGGAACCATTTCTCTCAGCAGTCGAGTATGGCTACTGATGGGTGTATTTAACTTGAGGAGAAAGACTACACGAATCTTTAGGACAAGCTTTGAATGCCTCCTTCAAGAGAAACGGCGCAGGGCAGACAGACAGGTTGAAGCACTGATAACCTGAGAATATAGGGATTCTGTGTGGAAGATGCCAACAGGTCCTGATAATGCAGTCTTTTCTAATGCAATGACAGGTCACTGGTTCATCTGCAAATACAATTTCTGGACCATCAACAATACAATCTAGACATTTCCTAGAAAAACATTAACCAGTCTGACCTTTGACTTAGATCAGATGGTCCTTTAAGGTGTCTTGCGCTTTCACGTAATGCTCTGAGAGTTGCAGCATTAAGAAGAACAAGACCCAGCAGAAGCAATAATGAAAGCAGTACCAGAGATACAGGCTTACAAAACTGAGAATAGTTTTTTTCTTGTTTTGTAGATCAAGCTGCTAAATCCAGGAATCCTGGTCAGGTGTGATTTGGCACCTTTTTTCTTTCTCCTTAGATTTGCACTGAGTGATGCAGTATAGCTATAAAAACACACTCTTAGACTGCCTTCTCTTGACTATGACTTTTAGATTTGCATTCAGTATAAACCTTGGTTCAGTGAGCAATACCTCAGCGAGTCAAGCTCCCTGCTTGCAAGGCTCCTTGCAGCACCAGAGGCTATGTTGATATGTTCTCTTCTGCACATAAACATCCTTCTCTTGAGCAGAAAAGTACCAAGCTGCAGCCATAGCAGCATTGCTCCAGAAACCTCTGCCTTCCTATGTCTCCTCTGTTGACCTCTCTAGTGTGCATCACTTATGGGACGGAAGTTCTCCAGGGGAAACCCATGTCAGTGCAGCTCCAGCTCTTAGGGTTCTGCAGCAAAAGCTCTGCAGCGACGTGGCCCCTCTGTGTCCTGTCCTGGCTGTCTATGTAATATACAGTATTCAAAAGTACGAGAGGTTTCTGCAAGGTTCCCTTATAGAGAGGATAACAGGGACTTATATGAACTTTAGCTGGACTACCAGCACTTTGTGACTGATAAGACATGCAAAGCTGAGTAGTTACTTGGACTGCTTTTGTAGTTGTAAGGTATCAGCTTTTCAGTGGCAGCATAGTAATATTGGTCATATCTTCTAGAGAGACCTTGATTTTTTTCTTTTTGTATTCAGTTTCTGTATATGTGTAAATATGATTATTTCTACAATAGAAAGTACCCAGAAATTAAGGCTCTTTTCTACTGCTTGATATTGTAGCTCTGAAAGTGAACAATTTATTGCATTGCAAACCTTCTATCTTAATTTTGCTGTGTAACATGAACTGTGGTTTTTGTTTTGATTTTAGAAGCTACTAATTCCTTTTACAGTGTATAAAATCCATTGAAATCATCTGCATCTTATAATCACATGATTTCACAGGGCTTGATCAAAGTCAGAGGCCCATTACAACTCAAAAGTTGCTCAAGTAACATTTCTGTTCTGGGAAATTGGGTCCTGAAAGATTAAGATCCCAGTCTCATTTTATTTAAACGAACACATTTCATATCTCAGCCACTAGTGGCAAGCAGTGAGCTGCACACTAAGCTCATTTCTCTCTCCATCACTGATTTTATTACCTCCACAGCTCACCCATAATCTGGATCTATCAGCTGATATCATACTGCTTCTAATCTGCTACATGTTACATTCTGTAAAAGATTTCAGCTTCATGATCCTTCTCCAAGCAAATAAAAAGAAACCAATGAAATGTATTTTTTCATTCATGGTTGTTCATACTCCACTAAGCAGGGCTCAAGATATCACGATGACTAACACTGCAGGTTGACAGTTCAGGAGTAAACACCACACCAATAAAAATATATTAGGTTATACATACCAAATTTTGCTGGAATGTGCTCATCTGAAAGATGACACAACGTGGCATTTCCTATCTTAGGGCATTTCCTGTCGTCCTGTCCCCCCATCCCATTCACTCTATATTTTTACAGGACCAATCTACTTAATATACATGCACTTTCCTTGAGAATTTTGGCATAGGGGTGGCACAAGCCAACCTCAGTAAAAAGCAAGCATAAGGATGGGCCACAAGAATGTACAACATGAAGCTGCTGTTCATGCTGAGGACAGTACTGTGTATTTTGTGGGGACATTTAGCAAAGAGAATGCAAGAGACTACCAGTGATGCCATCAAAATTGTCCATTTTGCTGTTTTATGGCATCTTTGCACATACTAAAACTCTCTTGCTTTCTCTTTCCCACTTCAGTTTTACCCTCAAACTTGAATTGCCGATCTGATTCACTGTCCCGTAAGCTGATGACTCTTTGCTCCGCAAGCCATTCATGCGCCGCACGGACTCAACGCTTTCATTCCCAACAGCCACAGTCTGTGCCTGTCCCCAGAGTGTCAGCATAGACAGCAGCAGCAACAATGAGAATACCGCAGCGGTAACATGACGACACACATACACAACACGCAAAGAGAAGAACGGCTCGGTTAGAGAAGAACGTCATGCAAAACAACGTGAATCACTTTCAAGGCAAAATAAACGGAGAAAATGGTGAGAGACAAAATCAAGTGTGGAGATGCAGAAAACACCTCCTAAAGAGCTGGCCTCAGTAACATTGTTCCCTATTTTGAAATTCATGCAACCAGATTCATAGGAAAAGTGAAAGCAAGGCTGTGCAAAAGGATAGGTATCTCTTACTCAGCAGAATATTTCCTTTTATTTAGTTAGGGCATTACTCATTTTGCAAAGAGTCCATGTACCAACTGGCTTAAGACAAACACAAGTCTTTTGAAGATTTGGTTTTAAATAACCTTTTTTTTAAATAATCACCAGAAAAATAATTTCCAAAGCAGATGAATGGCCACTTCCATGAACCAAAACCTCATAATTTTGAGTAATGCCACTGGATACTGCTACTTACCAAGGGTGGCTTATCACCTACTTGTCCACCTCTAATAAAGACTTTGCATCCAAAACTGAAATTATAGACCCCATACAGAAGGTTCTGCTGCTGCCATGCTGATTTTGGAAACAAAGACTTCCAGTGGCAGTGCCTGTGGCCTGTGTGCCTTCAGACAGGCAAGTAACTCTGTTCTCTCCTGTAATCTAATCTTCTCTGGAATCTCAATTCACCTGACAAAAATATTAAACCAGAGAACAGTACTGGATTGCTTCCCAGAGCATCCATCAAATATTACATTAGCTACAGAACATTTATTAGACAGACCTGTCAAAACACAAAAGCCCTGTGCCATTGTTGTCATACCTCTTATAAAGGAAGCCATTATTTGTGGCTTGAAGCATTTGTGCAACTCAAGCCAATATTTATATCACCCAGCAAATGTATATGTATAGTGTAAACCTAAATGTTTCTGTTGATGCTGAAAACCAGTGACTCAGATACAGGTAGGATGAAGTCTTTATCGTTCCCACATTCACTAGATGTGGGAATAATCATAACTGGACTAAAATTCAGTTTAATGTCTGCTCTTGTCTTTCCACTTACTGAAGAAAAAAAAGAACAGGAAAGATGGATAGACTTCCTAAAATTATTTCTAGACTGACATCTGCTTTACAAACAATTTTCTTGTCTACATTTCAGTCATTGGCATAAAATGATGTGATAATGACACACAAATAGCCTTTTGTTAAAAATTTGAAGTTTATATTAGTAATAAACTGTGACATGGTAGAATCTCAAGGGGAAATTCTGCTAATCCTTCTCATTATTTAAAATGTCCATGATCCCTGCTTTCAGCTGGGAAAGACACGAGTTGCCGGTGGTTTAAAAGTGAGGGTAGAACTGCCAATCACTGCAATGGGCCACCCTAAGGAACCTCCCATTTTATTGTAACTAGCTAGGGTAGCTCTAGAAGAGATAGGTCTCAGGCATGTTCTGATGTCAGCACACCTGGATAATATCGTTCCTCTATCTGTCATTGTGCCCAACAGTTCTTTATCCACTGGTGGGTGCCACATAGTAGCACAGTATTTGTAATAGTCCAGCTTTTGCACAAAGAGAAGAAAATTCTTCGAATCAGTGACCAATCTATTGACATTTATTGATAACTTCACAAATTGCAGAGAAACCCAACAGCCAGTCATCAGCTCTTTATCAAGGAGGAAATCACTCAGAAGGTAACTTTAGAATGAGAGTCTCCTGCAAGGGCAAGAAGAACTGAGGCGAGAAATCAACTGCACATGAGTGTGCTGTCAGGGCAGACTCAGTCACCCCAGGTAAAGAGCAACTTTACCTTATTTTGTCTCCTTTGCCTTCTTCGAAGCCTCAGAAACTCTTTGTGCTGCCGTGAAACAAAGTTGACTGCTGCATATTCCAGCAAAGCAGCAAAGACAAAGAGAAGACACACAGCCATCCAAATGTCAATAGCTTTTACGTAAGAGACCTAGAAAGAAGCAGAACACAGCATGTTTAATCTCGAACTTCATAAGCTGAAGACATTGAAGTGAAAAAAATAAAAACATTTTCGCACATCGTGAGTTCCAGTTATTCAATGAGGTGGAGTTTTTCTTGTTCTGTGTTTTGATTTGTTAATTTACTGGTGCATAACAAATAAATAATCCAATTTATAATGAAAATGCATGTTCACGAAGAATACACAAATTATGAGCTACTGCCTTTAGGAAAAGAATCAGGATTGCTCTAACAAAACAAAAGCACTCTTATGGTTCCAATCAAAGTTTGGAAGAAGGAATACAAATGCAGGGTGTGACAAAATACCTATTGAAAAACAATTGTAGAAAGTTTATAGGTTTCATTTTTTTAAATTGTTATGAATCTATTACCATATTGATTAATTAGCTACATTTGGTATCCACAACCTCAAAGTAATCTCAGGGTATTCTGTTTTATAGGCTGATAGGACTTTACCAATTAAATATTCAATCCTAGTTTCTTGACCTTTATCCAAAAACTCTATAGGAAAAATAAATCTTTATAGATATTATCTACTAAAAATACCCAAACACCAGTTGCCTCTGTTCTAGTAAAAGTTTATTCTGATTTGAATTGACTGGTCCAGAATAAAATCAGATATATTACAGCTCTGCAATGTCACAAGATTTTTATCGTATTACCCTCACTGGGCCAAACAGTAGCAAATTAATGAGCTACACACTATGCATATCAAAGGTACAATCTCCATAGGTGTATTTGATCTTTGCATTTCTTTGTAGTCTTGTAGTTTTTAAGCAGAGATCTTATGATTAGGCAACAGCAGGTTGTCTCTGTTGTTTATCAGGTATTACATCCAGGGTGGAATTAAAATCGTCTTTCAATGTCTACAATGTGAGCTAGTTGCATAAACTAATTTGATATAAATAAATCAAGGAATGAAGAATAATGGGCATTTTTAGGATGCAATGCATTTGAACTGTTTTACATGTCTTCTCTACAATGAAATTAATAATACTCAAATAGAGTTTCTTCTTCATGACTGTAAAGAGGAGCTTAGAACACCTTTGTACGCATAGACATATGGAGATTTATTCAGTTGTCTAAATAATAGCATCACAAACTGCCATATTAGGTACCTAGTGTTCATTTGCTAGTTCAACAGAGCACAAATCTTCAGTATGTCATAGTAACTAGTCCCCTGGAGATGTCTCAGATACCCAAGGTCATGTCAGTTTGACAGAGACCCATGGAAATCCCATACAGCTGAATCAAAACAAGCAAAATGGATCATACCTTAAGCCTGAAAAATTATAATCAAATATATTTAACATCTGAATAATATCCTGCAGGTCAAACATTTCAATGCAGTCAAAACATATGGTGGTCTAAGGGAGCAGAAAAGGATGTATTGCGCATACTCATATTTAGGAAACCCAATCTTCATCTTGGAAAACTCCACCTCTGCCCTTTGCATGCACTACTCAAAACAAATTTGTTCTTATGGATGGGCAACCATTTCATGGTGGAAGGAAGCACACCTGATCAGTGGGTTTTGCTCCTCTTTGCCATGTGCTGGAATTGCATCATTTTTCAGTCTGTAGAACATCTTTTGTTAATGTCAAATGGATTATACTGCACTATGTGCTTCAGCAAGCAATATGAGCAGAGGAACTGGCATTTAAAGCATGACGGAAAGGATACAGAGCTCCATTCTGCAGATCCTGAACGCATTTTAGAGGAGCCAAGCCCTTTTATTTAGCCTTCATCACATGGTAGGTACCTTTCAGTAGCTATAGTGCAGCTCCACACTGTAATATATGTGCTCTCACAATACAACATGCATAGGTTGAGATGTAGCAGACTGAGGTGACACTGTGAATCTGTGCCTTTCAATTAGATACACAGCAGGTACGCATTTCTCTCTCCCACACACAAAAAAATTTTACAAGTTACGTCTTTACTGAGCAGCTGTGAAGCCCAGTGAAAACTCAACAACATCCCAGATACTCTGTGCCACAGGCTGAGGCACAGTAGGAATCAAGTCATTGTAATTTGTGTAAAATGCAGCTGAGTTTAGATTGTTTGCTACCTTCCTTGAAGAGCCAGTTATTTTTCCTTTACAAATGCCCTTAGGAGATGTATTAGACATGCATAAACAGCTGGACTGTGTTGCCAGAGACAGCACAATGCAGTGAGCTGAAGTCACAAGAATCAGCATTTTTGACTGTGCAAATCCTGTCCTGGTGGGCTTAGAGCAGGGAAGTAAAATAATAAAGGAAGCCCTGAGTTAGCCTTCCAGCCACTTACACAGTGCTACCACAAATGGCATCCACACAGTTGCTGAGGCAGCTGGATTATTTTAACTCTAGCCTACTGGGCTGGAATCAGAGAATCACGATTTTCTTGGCAGATACAAGGCTTGTTCTGTTGTTTAGCCAGTGCCACACCATGGCACAGTTTTAAAAGAGAAAACAGAAAACAAATGCTTCCAACACCACATTAAAAATGAATAAATGGTTAAGTGCTGCAATGAGTAAAAGCTGACACCTTTGTTTTCAAATCAGTTTATGTAGTTTACCTATGAATGTCCAATATGTACAGAATTATGCTGGCAAGAGCCTAAAAACCCATGCAATTTACTGACATGCTCATGGAAGCTGGAGTCTGCAAAACTGAGTACATCATGATATCACAGACGCATCCATTGCTTTGGGAAAGTTCTTCCATTAAACTAAAAAACAATGTTTTCAACCATGGTTTTTTCCCCAGATCATAGTATGGCATGAAAACTTGTATGTTTGCTCACCTAAAACTTTGCTCAACTTACATCATCTGCTTTGCTAAGGACTCATCAAGCAGTAGTGCATCTCCAGCTTCCCTAACTACCATGCTCTGTAGTCTCTACTGTATACATGTAGAACAGTACAGACTGATTTTTTTTTGAGGTTTTTTTTCACCTAACTTAAAACATATTATGCACATGTGGGGTTTCATTTTAATTAATGCTAAGAAAAAAGCAATTTTAGAACAAAATTATACCAAGTGGAAAGTAAATATCTATACTCTAGCCAAACAAACTGTACCCTAAAAATGCCAGTCTCCCATTTTTTGACCAAGGCTGGAGTTTTGGATGGCTCTTTCAGGTATATATGTCTGCTTGATGTATGGAAACTTTGGTTACAAAAAGCTTACGAATCACTTCTGTTAGCCAGTATCTTGATGCAATCCTAAGCAGAACAGAGAAGAATAACAGAAGTTACCCCACAGGAGCCTATGTAAGGGAGACTGTTACCAGAGCATTAGCCACCTTTCCAATAATTTCACTTGCAAGACAGAATGCAGTAACACTACAAATTCAAAGCTGACATTATCAAGCTACCATGTATAATATGAAAAATTAGTGATTTTTTTTTTTTGAAAGGTAGATCTTGTAAAACACTCAATTCCTCTGAAAAGTCTGTAACCCCAACAGCACACTGACTACATTTACTTTTCAATACTATCAGAAGTGGATATTTGGAAACTCTGCCTCATTCAGGGTTATCATGTTCAGAAAGAACGATAAGATTTTCCTGCCCTTTTCTTTCTTTAAATAGTTGCTCCATTTTTTACTGCATGTTGCAGAGCTTCCTCCTTAATGCTGTTTTGGAGGAGGGGATTTAATGGCTCCCACCAATAAAACCATAAATTATATCAATTATTCAGATGCTTTGTAAATGTTTTAGGGCCAGCTAATGAGGGAGCTTTTTCAGAATTAGAGCTGTCTGCATCAAGAGCCAAGTATAGTAAGGCTAAGTATAGTAAATGTGACAAAGCAACTCCTTTCCCTTCATAATTTTCCTCATTTGTTACTTGGCCATACCCACTATGTACAAAAAAACCCCAGTTTGTTCTCTGTAAGCACTGCTGTAGCATCAATTATCTCAGTGAAGTTCCTGGAAATGAAAGTACAAGGAGGATAGCACTGTTTGTTGCAAAGATTAAACCTTCGACTTTTGAAGCTCTTTTTATTTTAGCACTGTGACTCTCTCACAGCTTCTGGGCACCTTTTGGTGTGCTGCCATGTGTCACCACCAGAACGAAGCAGGGTTTGGCGGAGAGAAGCCGGGGGAAAACATGGTCATGGGTCCTGCAGCTGAGCAGCTGTCATTTGTTGACATTTGTGAATCAACCCAAATGTGAGCTCTGTTTCTGCTACAATGCCAGCCTCATGAGACCCCAGACAACTGCTTTAACTTACTGATTCTGGGAATAAATGTAAAATGAAAATAAAGACACATCTGTCTTCTCCCAGAGTTCTGCATTGTGAAAGTAACTTCAATATGCAGTGAAAGGTATTCAGTTTGTGTTTAAAAACATACATTCACTTATTTTGGTTGATAGAATCACATGAAAAAATATCTTTGACTCGTGATACAAAGTCCCAAACAACATTCTAGGCAAATTTATATAGCTGAAGCTGAAAGCACCAATTCTGGTTTCATCACAATTTACAGGCAGGGAAGTTTCTGAATGAAGAACACGTTGTCAGTTGGTATTACAACAAAAGTATTTTCTTTTTGTTCCACTCTTATTCTGGATCTTTTTCACTCAAGTGTTTCACTCCATGAAATATCATATGTCTAAACCAAATTCACATCAGAAAATGCAAATTTCTTCCCCAGTCCTAACCCCTCGCTTTGTATTATCCTCCCATTGCAACATTTTCCAGAAAATTATCCTCTATACTGTGCAATTTTAAAGGGTCATCTTTAATGTGCAATACCTTGACTGGTCAGGCCAACAAGACTTTTTAACTTAGTGGACAATATGGCATAAAAGAGAAAATGTTTTAGATTCCACCAAGTTTAAAATTAATGGGATTGACCACATGGTAGAGAAAACTTCATCATGTGTTGAGGAGAGGACAAGTAAAGAAGCTGTCACTCACAGCTGGCTCTGGGACCTGTTCTCCAAGTGGGATGCTTCTGCAGAGGAGGCAACGAGACT